TTTCATTCCTTCTTTTCCCTTCCCTGCCAAACCAGCCTAACCCTTTGGTCCTATTGCCGTTTTGCTTGTCTCCTGTGGCCCTTCTTTTTTTCCCCCACCCCTTTATCACGAAGGTAAAACTGCCCCCTCTTCTTTTCTTTCTTTCTTTCTTTCTTTTTTTTTTTTTAGACAATTGGGGTTAAGTGACTTGCCCAGGGTCACACAGCTAATAAGTATCAAGTGTTTGGTCTGAGGCTGAATTTGAACTCAGGTCCTCCTGACTTCAGGGCCAGTGCTCTATCCACTGCACCACCTGGCTGCTCCCTGCCCCCTCTTCTAGTATGCTTTCATAGGCAGTTTGATAAAAGTCCCTACCCATACTGTCACCTCCATTTTATCCTTCTCTACTAACATTCAACTGTTTTTGTCCCAAGTGAAAAATATTCTTTGTTACAGCTCTTTCATACATAACAATATTCACTCCTAGCATATATCAGAGCCTAACAGTGTGGTGTTGTGGCTCCAGACCACATTAGAGTACGATGACATTCCGGCGACCATCTATTCAAAAAGAATTCCGGGGATTTCTCCTTCCCTGGCCATATGCTTGGTACTATAGATACATTTGTCATCTTGTATCATTGGGAATAAAATTTGACAGTCCCTATTAGCTCCTTGTTTGTTTAAACTTGAAGGGCTCTCTAATGATGCCTTGGGTATATACAATGGCGGTAGCAGCGTCAAACTCAGAAGTGGGCGTGGGAGATATTAATTATGATCATAATTATGATCATGATCAATTTGCCTTGTTGGGCTGTCTTAGAACCTCTACCCCTTTTTCAGGAAACCTGACTTGAGCAAGGCTCAACCTTGGCTGTATTTATAGCCTTGGCAAAGAATTAATGCAAATCCCCCAGCTGCCATGTGATGCTTTAGAGCCCTCAGTAATAACACAGTATGGGACAGTGCCAGAGCTTGCACAGCATCAGCTCTTTTGCCAGTTGATGCCACTGCAAGTTCTGGGTGAGAATCCATTTCAGAGGATCTGGATTCATTAAATACCAGGGTATGCAGATGCACGATGTGACCTCAAGGGCTCTGGGCCCTGGGAGCTGAATAGTAAACACTTCCATTCAAGGTGTAATGAACATGGGCAGCTCCTTAATCTATCAAGCCAAAGGTACCTTATTTTCTTAATAATAAGCATAATGAATGGCAAAGTGGGTCCTGTTAAGGGCATTATTGCTCGGCGTTTGGTCTGACAGCAAAATTACCATTACTAGGGAGTTCTATGGCTTTCGAGGCTGAGATTCCTTGGTGAAGTGTAATTTTGTGATCCTTATTAACATTTGGACTGTCTATTTCCCTTGCCCATTAGGTCTATAAATAATCACATTTCCATGATCAGAAAAGATGAACTTGTTCAAAATTCCACTCATTCTTCTAAATAATAATCTTCCAAGCCAGACAGGTGCTTATTAATACTTTGTTATGTTAGATATCTCTCCTGTTACCCAGGAACTATCTACCATATGTGCTCTTGCTGCTACAGAATTTGAATTTATATGAGCAGGATTTAAATGGCTTTCAATAAATTGGATATTTCAGAATTTTTTTTTCTTTTTCATCCCTTTCTTTTCTTCTCTCCCCTGCCATCCGTCCACTAATTCCCTATCTCTGATTTCCTAAACTTATATTAAAATGCCTCATGTTCCTATTTCACTTTCCTTACAGCACACCCTGAGGTAGCAAACACACATATTATTATCACCATTTTATAGATCAAGAAACTGAGGTTTAGTCATCTTAAGTAAACACTTTTTTGAGCTTCAATTTCCTCATCTGTGAAATGTAGGGGTGTGTGTGTGTGTGCGTGTGTGTGTGTGTGTGTGTGTGTGTGTGTGTGTGTGTGTGTGTGTTTGTATACTTGATGACTTCTGAAGTTCCAGCCCTAATGCTATGATCTTGAATGTGTTTAAGATCCCACATCTGGTAAGTGGTAATTTTTAAAATTCAGATTCCAAAACCTTTTGATGGGTAACCTCCCTGAGAAGAATAAATGTCATTTCTGTGAATTTGGGTATTTGTCTTTGAGGCTAAAAAATCCAACAAAGCAAATGCAAAATTCTAAGCCAAGGTCAATGATTTTGTTCCTAGCTTCTCTTTATGAAGTATGATGAAAGTTATTAGCTTACCTAGCCAGATTTTTTTAGTCTTATTGTGGTGAGAGTTGCATGGTCACAGCTGACATCATGGGAATAGGAAAATAATAATTTTCTTATTTTATTTTAGAGTGTGAATTAAACTTGATCAAGAGGGAAGAAACAATGGGTTTCTGAACACCTAAGGATTTCTGGAAGCAAGCTGGCTGGGTATAGCTGCCTGGAGTCTACATCTCAAAGAGATGACATAGCCCAGCAGCTATCAGCTCAAAAAGTTGATTAGACCCCTGTTCCTGAAGGGAAGAGATTAAATATCAGTTGACCAACAGATGGCAGCATAAAACAATTCTATGGATACACTCAGCAGAGAGAAGCATAGCCAAGTTAGCAACTTTTGTCTTAATTTACCAATATTAATAAAGTTACTTTCCTCTCTCTCTACACACGAAAAGAGACTTTCTATTTTTCTCTGGTATTCCAGGTCTCCATGTTATGACTAAATGTATAGATACTTTTCCTGTGGCAAAAGCAGGTTTAGACATAATCTTGATAATATGTTCCTAAGAAAAGTTGGCTAAAAGATCCAGAAATCCTTATTTGTCTCTGTGTCAGGGAGTGATTTCCCAAACAATAATTGATATGAGACAAGGGAGTTTAAATTTCTCCAAGTTAAAAAAAATACAGTTACCAGTCTAGAATCCAAACTAGAATCACTTTAGAATCCAAATGGAGGATCATGTACTCATTCTATTTCAACCCTGCAGAAATTCTCTAGAGGGTTTAGCAATTTAATAAAGAATTTGTCTGGATATTGAATTTGGTTTTAGGGAGAAGCTCGAGGTCATTTAAAGGACTGCACAATTTCCCAGTGGTAGTTGAAACTACTTTTCTCCTGTTTCTCGTTTTTCCATATATTCTGTATATCTAAGATATATGAAACAGACCTATAGATTGTCCATCTAGATGTATGGTCTAGACAATAGACACTCTTCATCCATATGGTTTTTCCTGTGTAGATGGTTAGGGAAAAGTCTGTTCAGTGATAATGTAGTTCATTGAAGAGGCTCTGCAGTACTCTGAGGCTTGCTGCACAATGTCATTTGCAAACAGGAACACTTACAGGCCCTCAACATCTATAAGAATTCCTTTTCCATTTTAGCTTTATTGTACATCATCAGTGATGGAGATGAACATGTTTGGTAAACATATGTCTTCCTGTTTTATTCCCAACTTGATATTTATAGAAAGTTATTTAAAAAAACCCTGTTTTCATGATGGAAGAAATCCTGCATGATTCTGGCATTTATGGGAGAGATTTTTTTTGTAGGAGAGTTTTTATGGCAGAGTTTTGCTCTGCTAAATCTAATGCTTATTTATAGTCAGCCAACAATAAATACAGTGGGACCTCATAACACCTTTAAGTTAATTAAGCTTGACCCTAATTTTCTTATTGAAGCAAAGCCTCATCTTTTGAACATGAGTATTCTTCTGATGAGTTACGGTTGTGAGTCATAAAATGCCACAATCTCTAGTGAACTGAATTTGTGAGTCCTCTGAAGGTATTATAGGGATGCATGGCTAGTATGAGTAGGTTGCAGCACCAAAGAACTGTGCAGAAGAAGTAGCAGGAAGTATGTCATCGGAGAGATGTGATAAAATGAACTCTGCCGTTGCTCTTCAATGGACTGTATTTATCTACTCCTTTATGCCTCCCATCATCATTCTTATAACTTTCTGGACCAGAATGCCCTTTGCTGGCCACCACTCCCCTGTGAATATAGCTTCCTCTGTTAGAATATAAACAAATGCAGTGATTATCTTGCTTTTGCATTTATTTCCCTACTGCTTAGCACAAATTAACTGCCTTATAAATGCTTTTGCATCCATCTATCCATCCATTTGGAAAATACATATTGGCTGGTTAGGTAGTAAGGAAAAGAGGTAACAAATGGATAGCCCTTATACTGCATTGGTATCTATACAATGTTAAAATGTTGGATGGACCCCCCCCTCCCCATGGGAGATTTATCAGAAAACATGGACAAGAGTTGCATGGAATGAGGTGTTGATAGATTGAGTATTCTGCTGTTGGCCCTAGTGATCATTTTGTCAAGATCAAAGGTCTATTGAAGTTCTGAATTTTGGTCTCTTTTAAGAATTTCAGCTAGTTTTGGAAGAAGAAAATTATCTAGAGGGTTCCTCAGGAAACGACCATAAAGGTAATTTTTCTGAAAAGTTGATATACCATTTCTAGATGGATAGAACACATGCATCTCCTGTAGTCTTCCCTCTTGTCTATTAGCTTTCACTACATAATCCATTTTCTAGTCACCTAGGAACTCCTAGGGATTATATAATCTACCTCATATGGTAAATCTCTTGTTTTGGATTTCTGTCTTTCACCTAGGTCAATTGGGAACTGCCTTGGTCAGCTAACTTGTTTTCTCCGTGCTAATATCAGGCAAAGAAAACATACAGAATAAGTAAAACATTGAATTGGAACTTTAACAGCAAAATAAGAGAGCAAAAAAACTCATATCTGTTCCTAAGCAACTACAGTCTCCTGCTTTCACCCCAGGGGTGCTAGGTTGTGCAGTAGATAAAGCATTGGCTCTGGAGTCAGGAAGACTTATCTTCCAGAGTTCAAATCCAGCCTCATATACTTACTGGCCGTGAAATCCTGTGGGATCACTTAGCCCTATTTGCCTCAGTTTCCTCATCTGGAGAAGGAAATGGCAAACCAATCTAGTGTCTTTGTCAAGAAAACCCCCCAAAAGGGTCATGAAGAGTCAGACACAACTGAACAACAAAAACCTTTAACCAAAGCATATTTAAGAAATAGTTTCCATCAAGACTCACATTACGAATGAAGAATTTTCTCTTTCAGAGCAGGCAGCCCCACTGTCACAGCTCAAACACTGTTGACCATTGCTTTTGTTCCATGTCTCCATATTGTTTGGCTTGGCTGGTTCTGGATTCTACTCTGTTGATTATTTCCCAGTATATGTCTTGAATGTAAATTGTTGTTTTCATGACATTTTTTTCCATTAGAGAGTAAGCTCCTTCAAGGTAGGAAGGAACCATTTTGCTTTCCTTTCTATCCCTAGCACAGCGCTGTGGACAGAGAAAGTACATAATAAGTGCTTGACTTGAGTTGACATGACTCTTTCTTATGTAATATATGCTTCAGTCACTCTTATCTGGTGTCTCCATGCATTTACACTGACTACTCCCCATGCCTGGGATGGACTTCCTCTTTACCTCCACGTCTGAGACTCCTTAGCTGCCTGTCTTATCTGATTCCACAGCTGCTAGTGTCTTCCTTCCAAAATTATATCGTATCTATTCTGTTTGCCTAAATATGTATTTATTTTCCTTGCAGCTAGATTGTGGGCAGAGATATTTTCTCTTAATATCACATGCACTGAGCATAGTGCCTTGCACATATTAGACACTTAATAAAAGCTTGTTGATTGATTGGTTAGGGATTTCCTCAATGAACAATCACTTTTTGAAGCCAGGCATACTGGAAAATGTAGCCCTTTTGCCATTGATGTGCTTCTGTTACAGTGGGGATTTCCCCAACCTGTCTTCAAAAGAAGACTCTCTTTGTGAATTAGGATTTCAGGCTTCTAACACCTTCTATCCCATGACATTATTTCCTTATTATACTTGCTGATTGAAGGTTCACAGGTGTTTTTCTTAGATGTCATTCTGCCACAAGCTGTTCTCAGCTGCAATACTTTGAAGGAATAACACTAACAATTGTCATAGTTCTTTTTCTCAATGAACAATAACATTGGTCCCTAGGTTTGTGGTGGGGAGGGATGGCTTTCTGGGAAGGAGAAGCAACTTTCTGAGATAGACTTAAATTGTAAAACACTCTATAAGTGTTAATTGTTAAGAGCTGCCTCCTTGGAAGTTGGTGAGTTCCCCATCACTGGGTGTCTTCCAGTCTGCCATCCATATGTCTGACCATCCATATGTCAAGGATTTGATTCAATCCAGCAAGTATTTCTTCAGTCTTCTATGTTAAAAGCATACACAGCAAAAGCAAAGTGTTTCCTACCAATAGGACCTTACATTCTACTGACACTATAGATGGAACTCCTCTTCACAAATGGAATAGATTAAATGACCTTCAGGGTTCCTTCCAGCTCAGAAATTCCATAACATAGACCACAATTCATTGTTGTGAACAGAAATGCAAATGCCCTCTGATCTCTTGTGGAATTTAATCGATGACTCATAACAGCATGCATTAGCAGACTGAGTTCTAGACTTGAATGAAGAATAGCTGGGTTCAACTCTTGCCTCAGACACTTGCTAACTGGGTGACCCTGAGTAAGTCACTTAACTTTTCTCATCATCTGAAAAATGAGGGAATTGGACTCTATGATATTTAAAGTCTTTTCTAACTCTGAATCGAATGTCCTATCATTCTAATAGACACGCTGAGTTGTACAGATATTTGATGTGCCTCATATAGTATGTACAGTTGAATATTGTCTCTATAGCCACCTTGCCCATGAAACTGTTGTTTTAATAATTATAATAAAAATTTGAATTTATATAGTTCTTTAAGTTTGTCAAAGCCCTGCACATATTTTATTTCATTTGATGCTCACAACAAACTGTGATGAAGGTGCTACTAATATCCCACATTATAGATGAGCAAACTGAGGTTATTTCATGGTCATAGTCTGTAGTAGCAACAATAGGTCTGTGGAGGAGAATTTGACTTACTAGAATTTTCTTTCCTTTGCTGCGCTTGCAGCCCACATCTGTTAGACTCTTTCTTCCTAAATTTTCTCCTTTATATCCAAAATCATATAACATAGAGAGAGATGCCAAACTCCCAAAAGGGACTTTTACTGGGTCTCCTAATTGGTAGCGCTCCCTACTCTCCCAGAAATTATTTTGCATTTACTTTATATATATTTTGTATTCACTTGGGGTTATAGATTGTAAGCTCCTTGAAGGCAAGGACTGTATTTTGCCATCCCTAGCATTTAGCACAGTGCTTCCCATAAGGTGGGTGATTAAGAAATGTTTATTTATTGGTTGATTGATAGATTATAAAGCTTGTCATTTAGCTGAAGCCTGTCATTTTTATATTTGAACAAATTGAGGCACAGAGAAATGAAATGGCACAAACATGGTCACACGGGTTGTAGTAAATTAAATAATCAGCAAGCATTTATTAAGCATTAGCTATATCCAGGTCACCATGCTAGGAGCAAAAGCAAAGAATGAAATTCCCTCTTCTCAAGGAGTTTACATTATATTGGAGGAGAGAAGACATATACATACAGACTATATGTAGATATACATATACGTTATGAAACATTACAAGGTAGTTAAGTTCGAGGTAGTCAGGGAGAGAAGGCATCAGAAGTTGGGGGAATTAGGAAAAACATCACATAGAAGGAGGTGCCTGAGCTGGGAGCTGAAGGAACAGAAGGATTCTAAGAGATGAAGATAAGGAGAGTGCAGTCCAGGCATGGGGCACAGCCAGTGCAAAGCCATGGAAGATGGAAGTAGAGTCCTGTGTGTGAAGAACAGAAAGAATACCAGTTTGGCTGTGCTCTAGAATATGGAAAGGAGAGAAACGTACAGTGAGTCTAGAGAGATAGTGAATGATACACGTGTTATTTCCTCTCTTGTAGAATGCAAACTCCTTGACAGCAGAAGGAGCTTCATTTCCGCCCTTGTAGCCCCAGCACCTAGGACTAGGTGATTAATAAATGCTTTTAAAATTGAATTGAATTGAATTGAATTGCTACAGTGGAAAGAACACTGGCTCTGAAGTCAGAGCCCCTGAGTGCAAATCCCACTTCTGTTATTTATTACCTGTGTGACATTGGGCTAGTCATATGATTCTTTGGGCCTCAGTTTCTTCACCTACAAAATAAAGGGGTTGGACTCTGTGGCCTCTGCTGTGGCTTCCAGATCTAGATCTGTGATTCAATGAATTGGATTCAATTTTGCCCAGCAAGGAACAGCATGTGAACTAAAATGCCGGGGGTGGCTGCTTTTTAAGATGAAAAGAAAGGCATTTCCAAGCCGGCAAAGCATTCTAAGGTCCAGGCAGAAAACACTTATATATTTAATTTCACTAGAGGCAAAATGTCCCCCAAAAGGTTGTTGAATTGCAAAGGAAAAAAAGGAGTGATCTGTCTGATCCAGCTCTCGACTCCTCTCGGCTATTTCCTTTGATAAGGCTGATATCTGTCTGTTTCCTTGGCGTTCTCTTTCAGCTTCATTTTACAAGTGCCTCATTTGGGATGAACATATCTGGCCAAGCCTTGGTGGAAGTCCTTTAATTTTAAATGATAAATTTCCTTTTGTCATTTCAAATTAAAAAAAAAAAAAGAGCAAGCCTCTTCCAGCAATGGCCCTGTTCTCTGCTAGCTGAATGGAGTTGGAACCTGATTGAAAGGACCAATACTTTCTGAACTCCAAATGTCTATAGAAGTCTCTTTGGACTCTTGCCTCCTGAAAGGTTGGGCCTGTTATTAACAGACCCTGAAAAGCTTGGCCTATCAAATTGTGTTCCACTTGATCGAAAGTAAAGACATCTCAAATGTTTGGAGAAACATTTATATATCTAAAGGGATTGGGCTTTCATGGTTTTCTTGGGTCTGAATAACAGGGCCCTAAAAAATCCAAGAGGAGGTGGGTCTTTGCTAGGAAAAGGAAAAAGCTGATTGTGCATGAAGGAGGCTAGGCCTGGGGAGTAGCAGGGCAGAATGAGAAATGAGATACTCCCAAGATCAAGGACTGGCTCTCACAGCGTTCTTACAGCTTTCAAAAGAGCAGCCCTTTCAATATTGCAACTTTTGAAGTAAAAGTTAGTGCAATCCAGTGTGGTCTTTGGTTCATCAGACCTTCTCATTAATTAAGCATTTTCCTACACACCAGACATGCCAAAGAATGGCTAAAGAATGAAGAAAACCATGGACCCTATAACCACTAGAACATTCAGGAACCCACTTAGTCTTTGTTTGATTAGTCAGGAAAAATGATTTTAAATAAATGCAAAATGTTTTTGGTTTTGCATTTTGAAGGTAAAATAGCCAAGTAACATATGACTGTATGGGGGATGATATAGTAACTTTGCTGATAGAGTCGAGGTTAAGAATTCAGGTCTGTTTTCTCCTTTTAATGCTGTTTTTAGTCCATTGAATTTAACAAAAGGTTTCTTAAGTAGATACCATGTCCAAGGACCTCTTCTGGGTACTCAGCATCCAAAGATTATTCAGTCACTCAACAAGAATTTTTTAAGAGCATCCTATGTGTCAGTCATTGAAGAATATTCCCACACCCATGAGATCGTAATTCCATTTTTGAGGGATTACTCTGTCATGGTATTCTTCACAATGAGGAGGGAGCTGTTCTTTACAATAATTGATAAACTAGTTTCTAAGGAGATGAAAGTATCTTATGGAGAGTATTTTATGAAAGGAACCAGGATGGTAAAGATCTTTAAGTCTATTTCATATAAGGAGCAATTGAAAGAATGAATTGGACATGTTTAGCCTGGAGAAGACTCGGGGGGCACAGGACAGTCATGTTCAGGTATTTTAAACAGGAAGGATTAGCCTTGTAATACTTGGTACCAGGGGACAGAACCAGGAGCAACGGGTGGGATTTAAAAGGAGACAGATGTAAGCTTTGTGTCTGGAAAACTTTTTTTTTTTTTAACAAGTAGACTATCTGAGTAGAATGGGAGGCCTCAGAAGGAGGAAGTTCCTGGTCACTGGATCACTTGTTGGGTATGTTGGAGGTAGATATTTTTTTGAGGAGTATAGGTAGGGCTGAATGACTGCTGAGGTCATTTCCAGCTCTGAGATTCAGTGATTCAGTGGTTTTGAATAATCCCAAAGCCAGGCTGATTTGTATATTTTGACCATGTCAATGGTAACTGACATTCATATAACGTTTAGAAAACACCCTCCATCCGTTCTATCATTTATTGCTTGTAACAAACCTGTGAGTCTGTTTCTTCGTGTAAGGAGTGGCTTGACACGGTACATGCAGAGTCAGGAAGCTCTGTGTTTGGATCCTGCCTTACACATTCACTTGCTGCATGACCCACAGAAGTCACCAAA